CACCTTGAGCAGTTCAGGTGCGGGTTCCAAAGGCTTCGAAAGAAAAGCTCAGATTTTGGTTGCAGCCTAATAAAAAAATAAAAAACAAACAAACAAAAAAAACACAAACAAACCAAAAACCACACACAAAAAAACACAAACCAACCAGTTCAAAACAGTTTTTAAATTTGGGTGTGTTTTGTCATTTTAAAAATCAAGTGAAAGATTATCATACTTGTCCTGAACACATCCTATACTATGAAGGGGAAGCAAATATGGTGTTGTACAGTCAGGCACAGCGAAGAAGTGGATTTGGTACCTGAAAGCATACCTGTGTAAGAACAAGGCTTCAGAGCAAAGGCTGAAATATAGCCAGCGGTTACCTTACTTTAAAACAAATAATAAAATCAGGAATGCAATTTTATAAAGCCGCAAAACCAGTCTGACAGTAGAAGCACGCCAGAGCCCCAGCTGTTCACATCCAGGTAAAGATGCTGCTTGCAGCTGGATTGCCGCAGGGAAGCATTCTGCTGTTAGCTCCAAAAAAAAAAAAAAAAAAAAAAGGAAAAGCAAAACAAGTGCTTGCTTTCTTAGCAGACACCGCAGGATCTGAGACACTCGCAAGGCTCAGTTGTCAAGCTATCACCTTCATTTAAATCCCTTCACAAAGCTCTTTCATAAGCAGGAGGCACAGAAAAATCCTACAGGAGAAATTTCAAGATGTTCACATCTTGATGTTCAGACATGGCACAAACCTAACTTTTTTTTTTTTTTTTTTTCTTTCCCCCTGCCTTACTCCTCCTGCTGCTCCCATCAGCCTCATTTACATCATGTCCAATTTTAACCTGCAACATCTTCTGGGTAGCTAGCTTGTCTCTTCAAATATTGCTCTGAAGTTTATGGTGCACTTTGGGTATTACAAACCTAAGTAATCAAGTAATACAGTAAAAAAGATTTGTGGCTACTGCAAGAGGAGCACCAGTGTAGACTATATAAACTCTTCAAGAGGAATAATGTTTCTGCATCTAATCTGTGTTTTTTATTACACGGATGAAAAGAAAGTAACCTACCCTCCCTAAAACCTAAAATCTGAAATCCTTCAAGCTGAAATCCTTCAAGCTGGGACGCGCAATGCTGCAGCCAAGGGAGGTTGGAAGAGCCTCAGCAGATGATGCACTCCGCCTCCCTCAAGGCATGCAGCTGACATTGCAGCTGATTGCCTTTTCCTGTAGGTTGGGCTGCAGCCGACACAGGAGCAAGTCCCAAACCGCAGGTCTCCACCCCGCCACATAAAATCTAAAATAACTGTGACATTGCACACCGCAAGCCTGGCAGAAACAGGATTTTCAAGTGGCAGAGTTGAGGGAGACCTCGCTGCGCATCAGTTCCCTCCTCTTCCTCTTGAAGGAAGAGTTGTGGCAAACTCCAGCGAGTCAGCACTGCATTCTCAGCACCGACTAGCTCAGCCTCTGACTTGGAGGAAGGCATTCTGGACCTCAAACTCCCCAAAATACCAGTGCTGCCTGACTGTACTCACAATCAACATCCCCCAGTGGCAGAGAGCTCCTTCTGGGGCACAGGAGCAGAAGGCAGTTGCAGCAGGTGGTAGCCAGGAAGTGGTTTCAGTCCTGGAGCTTGCAAAAGCTTTGAAAGTTTAACTCTAGTAGCAGCAGAGTGTGGTTAATAACTTAGTGTTGTGCTAAATGGGTGAAATCTCAAGGTGTCTGAGGACTGTAGCCACTGCTGCACACCATTATGAATTCAGTGGGCATGTAGTGCTGGTTAAGTGAGGAGATGTCAGGAGGAGCTACTTGATTATCACAAACACTGGAAGAACATGAGCAGGTCAAAAAATGGGAGAGTTAAAACAGAAATCTCCCTAAAAAGGGGTAGTTAAAACATGTATCTCCCTAAACCCACCCTGATTTAGCCTACTAGTGAAGCATGAAAAGATACGCTAAACAAGCAACCTGTCCTAGGATTTTAAAGCCTTGCTGATAACCCATTATTTCTCTGTTCAAGAAAAGCTCGAGGAAATTGTGGACCTAAGGCCACAATTCTCCAGATAATACCTCAGCAATTTATACACTGGTTTGCAGAAATGACCATATTTCCTTTAAGTCATCCAGGGGGAGAAAATGAAGGCACACAAACCAGCATGGGGGCAGAGGGAAAAAAAGAACGTTATCAAGTGTATGTTGTTCAGGTAGAAGCCCTGCTGAAACTATTCAATGGTTTCTCACTGGAGGATTAATCTCCCACACCAACAGCATATTTCCCTTACAGACGACTCCTTTTCCCTCTGAAATAACTACCCCTCAGCATCCACAGAACACGGATGTTGTGAAGTTTAACCACAAAGCACTGTCATTTCAAAACCGAAAGCTGAACGCATTTGCAGAAGATAGCCAGAAATATTTCATTAGCATACCTTCCCCTGAAAAAAATCTGCTCAACTACTTAATCTACTATTCTAAAGAAAAACCACCAAATCCTTTAAGATAGTAAAGATAATCTCAAACAGATGCAAGAAAATTATACTCTTTAGAAATTATGAATATACACATATGAATGAAAATCAGTGTTTTCAACTGCAGTCATCCGTATTTTAAAGTTTGCTGGAAAGCGCCAAATACACCACACTGAATACAGCTTTTTGCAGCTAGAGATGCAGACACAACTGTTTCCATCTTCTTGCGGGGGAAAAAAAAATGCCTCCAGGTCTTTAGTTTCAACCACCAGACTGCCAAATACCACAAAGCCGTGACAAACACCCGACTGCTTAAAAGTGGGGCGAGATCAAAGCCACTCTACAAACGAGTTCCTTTAAACTACTGAGACAAGACCCGGCTTATCAGCAGGCTTTCACGGTACGCTCTGCTCCACCTGACAACTCTGCCGTGTCCAGCGTTACTTTTCTAGCAAAACACCCACCGGGAGGAGCGCAGACGTACCGCGAACCGAGCTCCTGTCAGGACGGCTGGGCTAGAGCCAAGCCACGCTGGTAGAAAACCAAACAACCAAACAAAACCAACAGTTTCGCTGCGGCAGGGCCTGCCCGCAGGACGTTTCCTTCCTCCCTCCCTCCCTCCCCGGGGTCTTTTGTGCCGTTTCCAGCCCGGCTCCCTAGAAGAAGAAAGCAGCGAGTGGAGAAGCTCCCCACAGCCCCGCTGAGGCGGGGGGGATGTCCCCTCAGCAAGAAGGCTGACCGAGGGCGGCGGCGGCGGCTCTAGGGACACCGCTAAGGCGAGGAACGGCGGCGCCAAGAAAATAAATCCCCCTCCTTTCCCAAAGCCAGCCCGCAGCGCGGTACCTTATCGAGCAGCCCGTTCCTGCCGCCTTTGGCCGCCATCTTCTCACCGCCCTCCACCCCCGCCCTCGCCGCGCGACCTGTTCGCTCCTGATTGGCCGCGCGCGGGGGCCGACGGGAGCGGGCGGGCGGAAAGGGCTCGCCCCTCCGCCGCTTTGCCCGCTGGGAAATGCAGTCCGCGTCACCCGCCGGCGTTAGGGGTTGTTATGGCAACTGGGAGGCGCGGAGGGGTGGAAGAGGAGGAAGAGGAGGAGGAGGAGGAGGAGGAGGAGGAGGAGGCGGAGGCGGAGGAGGCCGTGCGGGACCCGCTCAGGGGACGGAGGCGGGCGAGCGGCTGGGGTGGCTCCCGGCCCGCGGGGTGAGGGGCAGGCTGCGCCGCCCGGCCGGGCTGCCTGGCCCTGGGGAGAGTGATGGGGGGGAGACATGTGTGGGGCTTCTCTGGGCAGTGGAGGACTGTGAACTCTATGGTCGGCGGTGGGTGGGGCGATGTGTATGGAGTGGGAGTGTCTGTGGTGTCGTGGGTGGGTGTGCGTGAGGGTGGGGTGTGGGAGTCCATCGGTGTGGGGAGGGGGTGTGCGTGGGGTGTGTGGAGGTGTTCGTGTGGGGGGTATATGGGTGTGGTTGTCCATCAGTGTGGGCAGTGGGTGTGCGTGGGGGGTGTGGGGGTGTGTGAGGGTGTTCATGTGTGGGGTATATGGGTGTGGATATCCACCAGTGTGGGTGTGCGTGGGGTCTATGGGGGTGTTCGTGTGGGGGGTGTATGGGTGTGGATGTCCACCAGTGTGGGCAGTGGGTGTGCGTGGGGTGTGTGGGTACGTGTGTGGGGTACATGGGTGTGGGTGTCCACCTGCGTGGCGTGGGTGTGTGAGTCAATAGTGCCTGCCAGTGTGGGGAGAGTGTGGGTGTAGCAGGATGTGTGAGAGTGTTTGTGGATGTTTGTGTCAGGGTACGTGGTTGTGGGTGTCCGCCGGTGTGTGGGGGTGTACATGGGGTGTGTATGGGGGTGGGTTGCGTGGGGTGTGTATGGGTGTCAGTGTTTTGGGGTGTGAAGGAGGTGGGCTGTGTGTTCAGGAGGTGTCATGAGGAGCATGTGTGGGTGTTGACGTGTTGGGTGCACGGGGAGGAGGGTGTATATGTGTGTGGAAAGGGGCGCGTGAGGGTGTTCATGGGTGGTTTCGGGCGAACGTGTGCCTGTGTGGGCTGTCGGGGCGGGTGGTGCAGAGGTGTAACCATGTGTGGGTGTGCGTAGGGTTGCACATCAGGAGGATGTACAGATGTGTGTTAAGTGTTTGTGGGGCGGTGTGCGTGTTAGATGATGGCATGAGCGTGCGTGTGTACGGGAGTGGGGTGTGCGAGGGTGTCTGTGGGTAGCTGGGGTGTATAAGTGTGTGTTGGGGGGGGTGGGTGTAGTTGCAAGACTGTGTGTTGGATGCATGGGTGTATGGGCCCACGTGTGGGGGTATACCCAGTACGTGAGTACATGTGGGCTGTGTGAGTGCTGCGTGTGTGGGTGTTCACGTGAGGGTGTAGATGTGTGGTGGTTTTTTGTGTTAGGGTAGGGGAACCGGTGCAGGGATGTGTGTCAGGAGTGAGTGAGGGTGGCGTGTGCTCATGATGGGGGGGTATGCGTGGGGGGAGCACGTCTGCAGGGGTTTTACAGGCACGTGTCAATTTTGGGCTCCACGTGTGTGTACCGGGGCATGCAGGTGTGTACCCCACACCCATCTCAGTGATGCAGCACCACCGTTGTGCCACACTGAGCATCGCTCTGCGGTGGCAGAGCTGTGACGACACTGCACAGAGGGCTGCACGAACACACGGTGTGCGCCTGTGGCAGGGGAGAGCTACCCCAAATACCAACACCGGGCCTCAACACCGTAGACAAACTGTGCCATAGGATGTCAGAGTGGTGTCTGCATGCAGAGACACCATCAGAGGGCACTGGGGGACCATCTCCTGCTACAGGGCACGGGACAGGAGCGATGCAGCGCCTTTAAAGTTTATTTCCGAGGTTTGGGGAGTGGTGACGAGTGTTTGGTTTTGGTTTTTTTTTTTGTTTTTTTTTTTTTTCTGGAGTCTCACAAATGACAAAGGAAAGGAGACGGGAAGGAGGAATGAGGGGCAAAGCAGAAATCCTGTGAGTTGTCATCCACACACTCCGGTGTCTGCGTTTTGCTATCTTGAGCTGGAAAATAATGCCTGTACTCCTGGCACCTCGTTTACTTCTCCGTTTCAGGAGGTGACGCTCCTCGTGGCCTTGACAGCATTCCTTTGCCTACAGGCTGACACTTCATTTGTGGCTGTGCTTGGAAAGAGCTGTTTAAAGCAAAGTAAGGTTGGAGCCAGTGAAAATTTTAACCCATTTATTTCTTTCCCACTCTCCCCAGGCATGCTGCTGTCAAGATGACTACGACAGGACTGTATAAAATGGGTGATGGAAACAACTATGCAACTAACTGCTTCCCTGCCAGGAACATTTTGTGTGCAAGTAAAGGAGGTGACACTTCTCTGAGTGCTGCTGGTGAAGTCTTCCTGCAGAATAATGTCATGACCATAGGGGCAGGTTCACCACCCACCCTGGTAGTAGGCCAGATAGAGGGTACATTCAGCTGTGGCTTCTTGTATCTACATCACAGTTGATAATACAGATAACAGTTGATAACAGAACTTAAAACAGTGCCCAGAAAGTCTTAAAATTGTTTAAAGCTTGAACAAAATGGAGAGGGCAGGATGTCTAGGGCACATATTAAATGAGGGGTCCAGCAGCCATCTCCACATGCCGGCGGGAAGGAAGCTTCAGGCAGGCACGTGGATAGCACAGTGTGGTCCTCCAGCAGCTGCTCTGAGCTAGAGCTTCTCCTTTTCTGCGGGCTGTAAGAGTCACGCCCATGAAATGCTTAGAAATGGCGGAAATGTCTTCTAACATTTGAGAAGTGGTGGAGAGGTCTACGAGGCTGGCCAGGGGTCTGGAGCACAGGACCTTCTAGGAGAGGTTGAGGGTGCTGAGCTTATTTTTTATCTGGCCAAGAAGAGTCCCAGGGGAGATTGTAGCTTACAGCTACCTGGAGGACAGCTACAAACTCAGTGGCAGATGGCGTAACTACGCCAAAAATTTCACCTTGGAAGGTTTAGGTTGGATGTTAGGAGGAACTTCTTCACTGGGAAGAGATGCAGCTCTGGGCCAGGTTACCCTGGGAGGTGGTGGTATCGCTCGTCAAAGCCACAACTGACTGAGCAAACATTGCTGATGGTCCTGCTTTGGGTGGGAGGTTGGACTGGAGATCTCCAGAAGGCTCTTCCAGCCCACGTTTCCATGTCTGCAACTTATGGCTCCATTAACATCTATAAAGTAGCATGGTCCTCCTCTTCCATGGCTGTGGCTGTAGCTTGAATGTTCCTATCTTAAATTCACGGTCACTGAACATTTTATACTTCAGTATTTCCCAGTATAAGGGATTTTAAAATGATGGATTTCACTGCTGGGCTGAAACACCAGGCAGAGTGCAGCTACTTTGAGAAGGGCACATTTGGAAGGTCGTGTGCTCACCTTGCTGTCTCCTCTGCCTTGGTCCATCGTTGTACCAGGGTCTGGGCGCTGGGTGCTGGCACACAGGGCTGCTCTGAGGGCTTGGACTGGGAAGGGGACCGCTGGGAAGAGACCACAACAGAGGAGAAAGCCCCCAGAGTCTGCCTTCATGGAAGAAAATAATGAAGACAATGTCCTTGATGAGCCATTTCTGGTGGGTGCAGATTTCCTCTGTTCTCCCCACATTCCGCGATCCAAGGAACCAGGTGCCCTCTCACCCAGGGGCAGCTGAGGTCTGGTTTTGGGGCTTAGGTCCCAGGACACGACATACAGAATTTCTGTAGGACTAACCATTTATGTTTCTTTTTTTTTTTTTTTTTTTTTCCTCCAGATGAAGCACCACTGTTTGAAGAACCCCTCCGACCTGTGCTCTGTGAACATAAGCAGCCAAAATCTGGTCTCTGTGAGTATCAGAGACTCAAGGAGTGTTAGAGAACTGCCTTAAAAGTTGAAAACTACCACAGTGGCACATGAGTGTCCAGAGATCAGAGAAGACGTACGTTAGAAGCAGGCATATTTCCTGCACAGGGAACTAGCCAGCTGTGAGCAGCCTTGTATGATTTGTCCTACAAACTTTTGGATTGTGTCCTTATAACCAAATTAACTTGGTCTTCAGCATTTGTAGAGCCTTCCCCGCTTACATCCCCTTGCAAAATGCTGTTCTTTGGGTTTAGGGATATTTATCTCAACTACGGTAGCTCACCTTCAGCTTGAGAAGTGACTTATTTGGATTCATGACTAACTTGCAATGCAAAGAGAAAATGAGCTGAGGTGCTGCTAGGTGTTTAGTGTCTTTTTAGGGTTCCCTCTTGGTGCTGTGAAGGACAGATGCAGATGTGCTAAATTGTAGGGTGGCTATGTTTGCTGGGTCACAGGTAGTTATGAGATATAGGCCGGGAACCCTGTGACACATGTAGGGGAGCAAGGCCAGCAGTGAGGACGTGGAGGAGGCTTTACTTTGGGGCTCAACTAATCCAGGTCTTCTGGATGTTGCTCACTGAGGCAGCTGGGCATTAAATGCATACTCTGAAGGGTGCTCTCCGTAGTCAGAAAACCAAATGAAGACCTAATTGTGGGAAATGCTATGATTTAGGCATGCTGAGAAAAGGAGAGGTCCAGTTGTTTCAGAACAGTTTAGGCCTGGAGCAGAATGGTTTTTCTTTTCTGTATTTTTCAGGCTAAAGAAGATGACTTTGAGAAATTTGATTGTGTTGCTTTTATAAATGCTGCTGAGAACCTGCTGACGCTAGGTAAGGGATTGTGTTACCACAATAGACGCTGCTTTTCAACCCGAGGAAGCTTATGCTTGTCTGAACAAAGGTCTGGAGCTTTACAAAGAGGTTTAAGATACACAGGCAGCACTTCTTTGCAGAATTTCTTCCTTCCTGTTACTGAGCTGAAATCCTTGCAGTAATTCCCTTTATTGTAATGATAATTGTATGCCACTGTGGTATCCTTTTCATTATTAGAAAACAAAGCTCTTTGTAAAGAAAATCCACATTTAATATATAGAAGTGTGGAATAATGAAATAACTTGTCCCAAAGGCTCAGGAGGCTAATGGTAGAGCTGGGAGGTTAATCCAAACCCAGTGTCATGGGCTCTGTTAATCTGAAGGAAAAAAATCTGTTTATAACTGCAAAACGTATAAACTAAATGTGCCATCAGTGGCTTCAAGAAATAATCCAATTTGGAGTGGGTGCAAATTCATGAAAGCAAACCAGATGTCTAAGGAATAGGCTGGTGGGGCATCGTGTATTGTATGGACAACCATCTAACTCATCTGGAATTTTCTTTCAAACGTGCTCACTGATAATACTAGTGCTCTCGTTCTTGCTGGTTTGGGTCCATTCCAGGCCCAGATAAGACACGGTTTGTTCTGTTACTGCTGTTCCTCACTCGCTGAAGTGTTTTCTTTTCCACCCTTGCAGAGCCGTTTCGGAAGTTTCCAGGGCTGCGGGAACTGGAACTTTCCTTGAACGGACTAAGAAATCTGAAAATCACTGCTGGAGACTTCCTGCATTTGGAAGTAAGATGAGGGGGCTCTGAGACCTTATTCATCTCCTCCCAAACATCATGCTGAAGCCTACACGTAGCACTGATGTACGTCCCCGCAGTGTCGGTGCTCTCAAACCGCAGGGCCATTCTCTCTTCCTGCTTCCTTGTGACTCCAGGAATTTCTTTCCACTGTGTCCCTCAAGGACCTTCATATCTTGCTTCCTCCTACAGAGCAATCCCTCACAGATCCACATTGCCACGGGACTCTTTGTTTCCCCTTGTGATGGGTCACCCTCTTTGCTGTAGGATCCTCTCCCTGCAGTGTGTCAGTCACCCGGGGCATCCCTCACCTCCCTGATGCTGTGTGGTCCCCAACAGATCCCTGTCCTCCTCCACACTGTGCTCTACCTCTCCGTGTCTCACCCTCCTCCTCTCCAGTTAGGTGTCTGCAGTTTCTCCAACTTATGGGCTGCCTTTTCTAGCACAGCAAAGGGGTCAGTTCATTTATGTTCTTTAAAAAAAAGACAAAGTGGATCCTAAAAACAAGCAGCTGTGCCTGGTATGATGGCTGTAGTTGTCCTCTCCCTCCAACTTGGTGTGAGTCTTTGCTGTAGAGTTCAGGCTCTGGCTCAGCTGTACTGCCTTTATGTTTGCTTCCTTTGAGGAGGTGTCCTTGCCTGGATTTCTCTGGTTTCTGATTGCTGCTGAATATAAAGTTTTGTCTTAAAAGGTTTATTTCTTCTTGTCTTATTCAAAGAACTGTTGGTGGCTCAGCTGTCAGATCTGTATGCTCAGATCCTGGCCTCCCTCCTGACTTTGGGAGGCCCCCAAATCCATGAAATATAGGAGAGCTTCTCCCATGCACTGTTGGTAACCTACTCAAGGGTTTGACTCGGTCACTGGTCACATGCCCAGGTGATGGGCAACCAAATTTCCAAGGCTCAGGAGGCCAGGGTGGATCCTGTCCATCCCTGTGTGCCTCTCTGAGCAGCCCCTGTCACTGGCATCAGCTACGGAAGGTGGGGATGGGACCTACCTAAGCTCCTCTTCTTGCCATGATCCCAGCTTCACCCATGACCAATGTCCAGGATCTTGTTTGCTGACAGCCTGGAGAAATCAGCCCTGTGAAGGCTGATTGGAAATTCATATTAAATGGATTTGGAAAGTGCTTTGGGAAAGCACTCCTGGGAAAATGCAGCCTGTTGTAATGTCTCGGCAGGGCTATTCCTGTTCATGTATCCTGGAAACCCTTGTCCTTGCTCCCAGCGGGGTCTGCTCCTTGGTTTTCTCCTGGCTGTTGTCCCATGAGTCAGACATGTGAGTGGGGGGACCAGCCCTGAGCACTTCTGCCAAAGTGCAGCGTCCCACCGCTGTAAGTGAAGTCTCTGCATGTCAGAAATGCTCACAGCATCACTCTAGGGTGGGTGAAAGTCTCCTGGCAATACTTGATACCCACCTGGGGAAAGCCAACAGAGATTGTTCTTTGCTCCAGGGGATTGTTCCTTCTGTTTCCTCCAGGATCTGGATCTCTCCTATAATAACTTGTCCCCCCAGGACATTTGGACATTGGGAGATTTGTCCCAGCTCAAAGTCCTTTGCTTGACGGCCAACGGGCTTCGGTCCCTGCCTCTGGACCTGGCAGGCTCGTGGGAGTAAGTGCACACAGCAAGGGATGCTCCAGTTTGGTGGGGAGCTGCCGGTGGGACACACTGGTGAGGGAGCAGCGGGGATGGCAAGGCAGTGGGGAGCAGCGAGGGTTGGCAGCCTGGGATTTATCCCTCTGGGCAACACAGCTCAAACTGGAAAATCAAATAACCTCATGGCTGGTGCTAGGCGGGAGGGAATTGTTATCCTAGCTGAGCCCCAGATCACCCAGGGCATCTGCTGTCACCAGCAGCTAGAGGGGAACCTCTGGCCAGTGATTCAGCAGCCGTGTCGGGTGGCTGAGCCATGTGAGTAGGATGCTGTTTATTCGTCATTAATTAGACCCTTCACGTATAGCTTAGCCACAGTTGCCATGCCAAGGTATCTGCTGTTTGCCATTGTTGGAGATAAGATGCTGAGCTAGATGGTCATTTGGACTCATTCAATTTAGCTGCTTTGAGGTAGGATATCAGTTTTCTATTAAAAGAATGAAAACAGCCCCAAGTCCAGTCTCCCAGTGGATACACCTTCCCACAGTGACAGCAAATGATGAGTTTTTCACCCGTCTTTGCTTGAGCGTGTTATTAAGGAGCCTTTTTGTATCTGCAGCTCTGCTCATTTAAGGTTTCCATCTCTGGAGGTCTTGTCGCTGGATGACAATCGTCTGTCAGACCCGAGTGTCTTTGTGAGCCTGTCTCAACTCTGCAGGTAAGGAAGTTCCTGGCAGCAGACAGCTCTGGCTTTCGGGGGCTGGCAGCTGCCTCTGTCGGCTGTTGCACAGTAGAATGCTTAAAATGAAAAACAAAATCTTTGTGATTCACTTGGATACTTCCCTGTTTAGTCTCTCTAGTATTGCAAATGGGACTGAACGGAAGCAAACAGCCGGCTGCAAAGCACAAGCTGGCCAAACCTGGCAGGTGGCTGGTAATTCAGCTCCTGCCCTGGGTATTTGCTGATCTCCAGGTCTGATTTGAGAAACGGCAGTTGCTTTCTCCATTTTCCCTTCCTCGCCCCAGATTCAACATTACTTCAGCACAGCAGCACTAGGAAAGGCTGCAGATCAGCTCCCTCTGTTTAATGTGGGCTTTTGTGATCCAGCTAGAGAGGTGTCACCAGGAAGGGGGGCAGCTCACATCCCCCTCAACTGGGCTGTACTGGGTTTGAGGCCAGCACAGAGACCTTCTGGTGTTCCCCTGTTGCTTCCAGTGCTTCAAACTGGAGGTGGGAATTGGGTCTGGCTTGTTGCCCAGGCTCTGCCGAGACATTCCTGGAAGAAACTGCACCTTGTTCTCAGAGTTTGTGAGAGAAGAGGGGGGAGTGGGTGAGGTTTAGACACAGGACTGTAGGGCTGGGGTGTGGAGGTTTGTGTTTCTGCTCTTCCTTAAGCTGTTGTGTGACCTTGGGCAAGTGCACTGGTGATGTTACACTTCCATGGGAAGGTGGAACATCGTTAGGGAATCCCGGTAGGACTGCAGCTCATCAGAAACTTGGGTGATTGAATGAACTGCCAGGATGTCTCCTTGCCTATTAAATTCTCATCAAGAGATGAGCTTAGAGCTAGGTGACTGAAGTCACAGGCTTCAGGGGCAACGCTGGGCTGTGCCAAGAACGGAGCCTGTGCTTGGGATTTGGAGAGGAAGGGGAGCGGGGCAGCGAGACGCGGGTGTCGCGGATGGCTCCGCGCTGCTGCTGGGAAGCCCAGCGAGGCGGCAGGTCGAGGGCCAGCTCCCTGCCTCGCGGGCACCGGGGCGAACAGATGGCGTGTACGCCGACAGCAATTGTGGAGTTTCTCACGCGTTTCCTCTTCCCGTAGCCTGAGGGAGCTGAATCTGGACAGGAACGGGATTTCAGCTGTCCCCTACATGCACCAAGCAGAGAGCAGGCAGTTCTTCCTCCACCCCGCGCTGGACGGCGACAGCTTTAGGGCAGAGTGGTACAAGTCCCTGAGCAGCTTCTGGCAGCAATCCCGGCCACCGCAGCAGGAGGACACGGAGGTGCCAGCAGAGCTGGAAGTGAAGAAAGGACAGCTTGAGTATGTCGTGTTACAGAGCGAGGGGGATCCGGACAGGATGGGTGAGCAGCGCCTGCCTCTCTCTGCCCGCGCTGAAACTGCGGGGTGTTTCACTGGGAGTGGGGTCAGTTATGTCAGGGTGAGGATCTGCTGGATGTCTACTAGTGAGTGAAGCAGCTTGGCAAAATTAAAACAGTGAGGGAGGGATACATGCAACCATTTTAGCCATCTCAGCTAACCTGTACGGTCCCTTTATAATTACTGGGAGCTTACTGGACCTGAATCACCCTGAAGCAGACATCTGCCATGGTTCAGACAGAACAGCCCCTTTCTGTCTCCTGGACTTCTTCAGGGTAACTTGCTCTAAAGGAGACATTTCATGCTGACTGGGAGGAAAACTGGTAAAAATGGGGAAATAATTCAGGTTAGGATGTGGATTACTGTGGATCCCGGACAGGCAGAGGGCAGGAAGGTTGTGTGAGTAGGTAGCCCACACACAGATCTGCATTCCTGGGGTAGGTCAGCTCTCCCCTCTGGATGTCCTTACTGAGGTGTGATGCGCACACCACGCTGGGCCACGCGACGGCATGGATCCGGAGGCTGCCTGGTGTGGATCGGGCTGTGATGGAGGCTGCTGGGGCTCCTCCAAACACTTCTCCTGACTCTTGGCTTGCTGTGGGCCAGTAGCAGAGTTTCTGCTGGGTTTGAGGGATGTGGACCTCACCCAGAGCAATGGGGCTGTCAGCAAGCCTGATCCCCCCTCACCTTGGGCACATCTTGACATTGAACCAGATCCTGCCTGAAGCTGATTTCCTTTTCCAGGGTAATTCCAGCACTCAGCTTCATGTAGAAACCTTCATTTTGCTTGTGTTTCATTGCAGAGATTGTTTTTAACTCTGGCCCTCAGGAACACCCAGTGCTGGTAAGAGCCGTTGGCTGATCTGCAATTTGGGGTGTGAGCTCCAAACCTTCCCTTCCCTCTCAGCTGAGTTTCAATAAACTCGTGGGTACAGCTGGGATGCTGGGTGCCTGCAAGGCTTGCAGTGAGTATTGTCTCTCATCAGGGAAATCAGGAGCAAATTTTCCCGTAACTAAGGGACACAAGAGCTTAAACTTGTCTCATTTTCAAATCAAAGCTGGGTCACAATTTTCTCATGACTGTGTGCCCTCCCTGCCTGGGGAAGCGTGTTCTGTGGCTCAGGTGGGGCCTGAAGCTCAGGAGCTGGGTGTTCTTTCATTCTTAGAGCTGTAATCTTTCCCCCTCACATCTATTTACGTGATGCTCTTCAGAAGCAAATGTTTGAAGCCAAAGACCCTGATTTGTTTTAGAACTTGAGTAAGCAGCTGAGCTTTGGTGACGCTGAGCACTCGCAGCATGTTCTAGCATTAACACACACATGTGTGCACATGCACGCTCCCTGAGGGCACAGCTGCTTCCTCCTGAGCCCTTGCACATTTTCTGTGATGAACTGATGGAGTATGGTGCATTTGACATGACTTCCTGTGGGGCTCCCACATTAGCGCAGAGGCCAAAGCAAGCTGCCACAATTCAACCTCTGAAGCGGGTCTGAGCCAAAAGCTCTTCAAATTAGAGCTGTATTTGGGCTCAGGAGGGTGGTATCCTGCTCCTGGAGGTGTCTCCTGCCACTGGAGCCTCTGGAGTGGTGTCTCTGCTCACCCTCTTCCTCTTCTCTTTAAGGTTGCTCCCAGGGAGGGAGAACTATCTGTCTCCAAGACTCTGCCAGCTCCCTCCATGTGCCGGGGTGTTTGTGCTCCCTTTCCTGTACTGAAGCATCTCAGCTTGGCCTTCAACAAGGTGATTTGGGTCCCGTGGCTCTGGATAAGTGTAAAAATTCAGCTGCCTGAGCCCGGCCTTAGTTTCCTGGGAGACACCCTTGGCCTTTAGCTGCCACTGCAGAAGGGCACAGCTCTCCCCAGCTCCTGTGTCCATCTGCCAGCCCAGGGGAATGCGTCAGATATCCAGGATCTCTCAGAGTGGGGCAGGACATCTATTTAGGCAGCTGAATTGCACTCAGCTTGTCTAAACCCATGCAAATTTAGGGATTTCATCAGCAAATATATGAAGGATTGCCCTCTCCCTGGACTGATCCTTTGCTGGAGCTGCCTGGTAGATGGTGATGTCTCATCATTGCTGGTTTTGTGCCAGGTTATACCTGTCTGCTGAGCCACATTGGGTTCTCAGTGTGCCCCAACAGACAAGTAGCACACAACAGCATTTAAGCTGCTCTTCCTGGTGCTTTTGGCTTCTGCTCAGGGCTTAATTCATGCTACTTCCCAGGTGGGTGAGGTTATCACCGCTCAGCGAGGGGCATCCCCTGGGATGGCAAGTGAGCGCTGCTGCCGTTCCCCGCGTGTCCTCACTCTGGTTTAGGTCACTGCCTTGGCAGTGAGCTGGTTTCTGGCTGCCGTGCCCTGGCCAGGCTGTGGTTTGGACTGCAGGGTGGTGAGGCAAGACTTTTTTTCCTGGCCTGGGCTGGAGTTACAGCTCTTCTGAGCAGGAAAAAAAGTCCTGGCTCTCCACCTTGTAGCTCTTCTGGGCACTGGAGGCACCAGTTCTCTGGCTGCAGTGTGCAGGATGGAGAGCGGGAGCGCAGTCTCTGTCCTTGATAATCACAGGCAGCAGAGCTTCTGGGTGTTTCTGGTTAAGGGATGCCATCTCCCTCCTCCTCCTCCCCACTGCACGTGCCAGAGTCCCCACGCAGTGGAGGGACGTGCTTTGGTGGGAGGGTTGGGATGGAACTCTGCAGCCTCCGGCATGACTCAGTGCTTAGAGCAAGCAGTAAACTATTTTATCTTGCAGATCGCAGATGAGACAGCTCTCTTACCTGTGGCTTTCTTCCCGTGCCTGAAGGAGCTGACGTTTCACAACAACCCTCTTACCACCACCCGAAGCGGTACAGTATGAGCCTGACTGTGGCAGGACTCCTGCGTTGTCCCTCCTTTGTGGTTAGCTCTCTGGGACAGGGACCACGTTGCTTCTCCATGTTCAGTCACTCCTGCCACGCTGGCCCTGGCCCAAGCTCTTGGGGAGGTGCTTTAATTATTGCCCTTCTCTAAAGAGCAACACAGATAAACACTGCTCTTGCAAACACTTCATGCCCTGCTGCCGCTCTCGGCCCCTCTGAAGTCTATAACAGCCCATCTGTGACTGTTGCAGTGCAGTTTCAGGTTAAATTTTGCTTCCCAAATGGTGTTCGTCCCACAAAGGGCTTTTCGGAAGCTCATCCAGGTTTCCCCCTGCAGCAGCTTTCTGAGCAGAGGGGGATAAACCCCAAACGTGCCTGTGGCCTCGATAAGCAATGTCTGAAGGTAGCCAGAAGGATTATGACGAAACGCTGCAGTGATGTTGCTCCCTGCACAAACTACATTTAGACTAGTAAATAAAACAGGTCAGGGATGTTCCTCTGGCCTTGGTGGCACATAGCCCAGTCCAGTGTGTCCTTAGGGCTGAAGCATCTCCCTGCAAAACCGGGTGGCTTCTACTCTGGTCCCTGAGCTGAGCCTGGGGTTAGCTGGCACAGGCCAGAGTTTGCTGCCAGCGATGGAGCAGGGTATGAGCTCTCCGCCAGCTGCCTGCAGCTCCGGTGAACCTCCGCTTCCCCAGGGCAGCCGCCTCTGCTGAGCCGACTCCTCCAGCACAATCTGGGGATTAAACTTGTCCGACAGAAGAGCCTCGCCGCGGAGAGGCGGCACTTCTCCATCCCTCTCCAAGCCAGCCGCAAGGTGAGGATGTGCCTCAGGAGCGTGGGGTTTTTCCTGCTGAAGGCAGGGATGAAACTCTTGCTGCAGTACTCAGGGTGGGATCGCCCAGTAAGCGACTTGCTGGGGAGCATGGGAGGAGCTGGTGGGACACAGGGATCCCAGCGGGGTTGGAGGGAAGGGTGGGAAGGGTTGGGGGTATTTTTTCTCAGAATGAGGCTGGGGGAATCCAACCCCCGCCTTATTGCTGCCCCAGGCAGGGTTTGTCCCAGGGTTTTTGGGTTCAGTCCTGCCCATCGGTCTTGGTGGAAGGATCCTGTGGGACTGAAGATGCTGTCAGGGTGTCCCTGGAGCCGGGGCTGTCCGGGCACTCCCTGTCCCATCAGGACCAGCCTCCAGCCATCACACCTGACCCCATGTGTTGTGTGTGTGTGTGTGTGTCCCCAGGTCACGTCGCGTCTCCCCAAAGTCACGAAGCGGCCGCTGATGCTGGAATCTCCTGCCAGCCCCTCTCTGTGGAAACTGCTCCCAGCTGTGGTGGAGGCTACGAGAAATGCTGCACCTCCCAGCCCGGCCCAGCCGCTGACCCCCAGCAGCTCCGGGACCGCAGCCGGCAGCCAGTGGCCGGTGCTGGGGACAGGGGAAGATGACTCCAGGCCTCCTCCTGGCTCAGCTGAAGAAGACATCGCATCCTTCTTCATGACGCAGGTGAGGCCGGGCTCTAAGTCTTTAGGGTTTGTCCAGAAATGGTCCATAAATGAATCTTCCTCTCCTAAGTGAATGAACTGTGTGCATGTGCTGTGGGTACCAGTGATGATAACCCTCCTTTGACTGCAAAGGATTTAAGGAAAGAAGCACTACTAAGAAGCAAAAATGCAGCCTTGTGACCAAGAACAAGCATTGGTGACCTATTTTGCAGAGCGGCACAGGGCTGTGCTGGCTTGGTGGGTAGCTCCAACTGCAAGAGCTCATCAGCCCACCATTTTCCCTGCAGCATCCACTGGAAAACTCCCTCCTAGAGCTGACTAGGGCAGTTTTTTTGCCTTGATTTCCCTGAAAATCTTGGGATTATCAGGGTAGAAAAAGTGCGCTGGGATGACCCCTCTTTTCCCTGAGCCCGATCCTGCTGAGCAGAGATGGGATGAGGTGGTGGCTGCATGGCTCGGTGCCGCTGGGAGAGGCCTCTGGCCACAGCAGGACAGGCTCTGGCTGTCTCCCTCAGCTCGACTGGTAAGAAATGGCTGTGGTGAATTCCTTTCTTTTGCTGCTTTGAGGTGGAGGAGGTGCCCAGACCCCTGTCGAGACCCACGGCAAAGGACGGGCTGGAGAAGATGAGTGAGGAGAGCGGGGAAGGAAGCTCCCAGGTGATTCCGGAGCGATACAAAGGCTACGAGGAGCTCCTCGGTGGAGACACAGACCCAGATTTTATCGAGCCAGTTGGTGAGTTGAAGATGGCAGAGGGCTCCTGCTCAGAAAAGGCAGGTTGATGAGCACTGTGGTCCACTCTGACCAAGAAAGATGCAGCAAAGGCTTTTGTGGTGCCGTTTTCCCTCTGGTTCACAGGGATACAGAAGAACGTGCAGGCGCTGTACTATATCCTGAATCACCCCCTGGTTTACCGGGATGCCACGCCACGACTGGACAGCATGCAGAAGCCCTACGTGCCTCGGAAAAAGGTAAAGAGCCAAAACTCCGAAGGGAGACCGGTTGCATCTGTATCTGGATCAACCCACGGGGTTGGATGGATGTTGAGAGCCCGAGCGTGGGCTTGGCCCCGGATCCCGATCCCAGCACCTCGCTGTTCTCCCTCCCTCGTGGCGTGGTGCGTGCAACCCCCCCGGGAACCATCCCTGAATCCACTGCACTGCTCGGGGGGTTGCAGAAAGCTGATCCAGTGTTGCTCAATAATCTTAAATTGGTGTCTAAACTGGACCAGCTTGGTCCAAAAAACAAACAACAAAAAAAACCCCAACCCCTCCAAAAAAAGACCATCTCACCTACCTTGTGCAGAAGCACAGACCCAGGTTAGTTTGGGAGAGGGGGCAGGAAAAGGAGGTGGAGGATTATCAGCTTGGAGGGTGGAGGGGAGGCACACTGCAACCTCCCCATCTTCCTTGCAGCGTGGGAGGATGCCCGGCCCTGCTACCCGAAAGACAAGAGCAGAGATCCTGGAAGGAATCCTGATGGCCATGAGAAACACCTCAACCATCACAGAGGTGCCCCTGGGTATGTTCCCGCGTTCCCAGCTCCTCCCGTTGACGGCACTGCAGAGGCGGGGGCAGGATCTGAACATCGAGGTGTCCTTGAGCTGGTGGGGCCCCAGGGTGCGGCTGAGATGGGAATGAGGGTCCCCAAGGGCTTGTTGAAACACTCTCAGCCCACCATGAGGTTGGACCACAGGTATGAGATGAGAAAAATGAATTATTTAATTCATTTTTGGCCAAGGGTTGACAGAGGGGTAAATGTAACCCAAGACACGGCCGGGGGTCTCTGGATCCACAGCTGCATTAACCCCACCCCGAACCCAGCTGTTGGGAGAACGGTCTTGGAGTAAAAGTGGTTTTTCCTCCGAGATGAAGCAGGACTTGGGTTTCTGAGCACTGGCCATGTTTGAGCTCCATCCCAACCCCGATGGGGGTACAACCCTGAGCTGCTTGCGCAGGCAGGACCCGGCTGCTCCTCGGTGCTGTCTCTCTTCCCTGCACTGCCCGGGGGAAAGGGGGAGGAAAGAAAGGCAAGAAATTAAGGCACTTTTCGTAGGCTACAGGAAGAGCCACTGCTCAGGCTTGAACCCAGCACATCCACCTTCACTTGAGTTGCTCGTGACCACCCGTGCCTTTGCTTGTGGGGCTCCCGTGTTTCGTGTGGGCTCCAGGATAGCGCTGGATCCCAGCTGCTGCCTTTGTGTCCCTGCCACAGTGCCGTGCCCCGTGCTGCGGGGGGACGGGAGAGAGCCGGGGCCGCTGGTGGGCAGAGGCATGGGAGGGAAGATCAAAAATATTGCAGCAGAGGAGCTGTCCCATTGCTCTGCCTCACCACCCCCCCCCCCCCGGCCTTTTCCAGCTTCTGTTTTGCAAAAGAAGAAATCCAACCCCAGGGCGTACCGGGAGGCGCGGAGGCTGATGGAGGAATTCCGGGAGGTGTTCGAGATCCTCCGCGTGACCGTGGGCGAGGAGGAGGCCAAGCTGTCGGATGAGGTGCAGGTGGTAAAAGCCCCTCTCACAGAGGTGACGTCCAAGCAGGGGAGCCCCAAAAAGCTACAGCTGCTAGGGAAGAGCACGGCCAAGAAGGTGCCCAAAGTCCAGTAAGCAGCATAGCCAGGAATTGAATAAAACATCCCACACTTTGGTCCTCTTGGATAAAATATGCTATTTTGTAACCCGTTTGGAACCATTTTTCCCCTCCTGAAGTTGGAAAATCCAGCGTGGCGACAAGATTCTGCTCAGGTTTTCAGGCAGCGCCTCCCAGCTTGAAAGCACCAATCCAGCCCCAACGCTGCAATGCCAGAGCACGCGAAAAACGCGTCTGCTCGTTGTTGTGCTCTGCAGAAAATAAGGTGTGTGCTCACCCATCCCCGTGCAAAAACTGGCTTGTAAGGAAAAACTACTGCACCCTCTGGGCATTGTTTGGGGAAGAAATGGAAAGGGTGGAAAGCGCGACCGCCCTGGCACAGCTCACGATGGGGCTCTGCCCGTGTTGTACGAGGGGGTGAGCAGCAACCCCACTGCCCTGACCGAGCTCCCCGGTCCCAGCATCTGTCTGTCCCGCAGCCAAACGCTGGGGAAACCCCATTTTGTGCTGGGGCAGCTCTGAGCACGCAGCCCATCCCGCCGCAGGGATGGGCCCCAGCAGCCAGACCTGAGGGTACCCAGGGAGCCAAGCTGAGCAGAAAATACTTACTAAAAACCTAAATCCATCCCCTGGGCTGGCAGCCCTAAAAACCAGCAGCCAGAGGGGTTGGGACAAGGCGATGGAGGATGCTTGCTTCCCACTGGCCGCCTACTTACATGAAAAATATGGTATTATCCTCAACTATCCCTTTTTTTTTTTTCCCCTACAAAACATCAATCAACAACCTCATTCAGCCAGGGGCCACTGTAACCCAGTTGACATAGGCAGCAGTAGGATCCTGCTTGTTTCCAAGCGCAGCAACTTGAGCAGAAACAGGTAGTTCACTGTCAGAACCTGGTTTTATTCTGTTTTAACCTCGGCCTTTGTCCTGCAGTTAAAGTCCTCGTTGCTGTTAAAATGTACATGTTATTTGTACACAGTTGGCATTTTTCTGGTTTGTGACAATTTTTTCACAAGCAGGATTTACTCTGTTCCAAATAACAGAAGCCACAACATGACAGACGCCTGCATGTCATTTTACCCACACATTTTACACATGCAAGTCAAGAGTCCTTCAGTAACTTCCATCGTTTTTTTAAAACAGTCAGATGAAGCCACGTTGGTTCAGCTGAGACCCAAAACGACCGTAGTCTTTCACCGCCCTGGTGCTCCGCTGGCGAGCTGAGGAGAACACGAAAGCACAACAATTTAAAGCATTATCAGAAAAAAAAAAGCGTAGCAACACCTAGTTTTGTTTCAAACAGTTTGACAAGTAAACACCAAGGAAACCAGGCATACACAACCCCCCTCTGTAACCAGCTGAAGGTTTTTCTGTTTGCATAGTGAAGAGCTAATTCTAGAGCTGCTGCTTCGCGGTGTTTTACAGACACGGGGAAGAGAAAGGTTTGTGTCCGATGCGTGCGACAGGCGGGGCTCATCCCAGCTTCCGCTCAAAACCAGTCTCACGTCCCAGTTCCACCCAGCTGCCAGCCACGCGGACGCCTCGGGGCCCCGTCACGGTGCCACGCGAGACCGTCGCGTCCAAGTTGTTAAGTTTTTGTTAAAACTTCCACCCCCCCCAACCCCTCCCCGTGCACGGGACAAGCTCCTCGTCAGCCTTTGGCCGGACAACTGGGAGAGGGCACAGGGCTTGGCGGGTCCGGGCGCAGCCCTGGGGTTTGTCCTCAGAGCATGGCTAAAGGCTTGTTTTTAAAATCAGTGATAGTCTTTAAGGCTTCAACCTCCCCCTTTGCTTTCGTTGAGAAAATACAAAGAAGCGCTTGTTCAAGCTACACTTCATGACTACTGTGCACTGCATGTACAATAGCATTTGAAGAAAAATACTGACGATATAGAACAACATTATACAATCATCTGGCATGATCCCTTCTTTTGGCACTTTTCCTTCATTTATCTGATCTCACTGACTCCAAACACGGCCCTTTCCGTACGGCTTTTCCCGGGCAGAGAGCTCCGGAGGGTCAGAAAGCAACTTTCCGGAGTCGGTGGCATCTTTGGCAGACACGGTCCTTCTGTCGTCAAACCAACCCCAGCCCCTCCAGCGCTACCGGCAGTGCAAGCTCTTAACCTGATTTTTTTTTTTTTTTTTTCCCCTTTTCTTACAAGAGAAGACAGCTTCACATTTTGGGAGGACGCTCGCGCGCCTGCACTGTCCCACAGCCGACAAGGGCTGCCTTCCTCCTGGAGACAAGGTGGCTGCAGAAAGGAGGAGGGTTAGAAATGACTTTTGTATAAGTGTAAATAAATACTTGGTTTCATCTTAGGGCCTCTGCAGATCTTGTGCTGCATCCACCGTTCAGCAAGAGGTATTTGACTTTCAGCTGGCATTATCTGTGGCAAAGGTAGCGTCATACCTGACCTTTCGAGGGTAGAGGCTGGGAATTCCTGCTCTTTTAAGTGTAATTATATACATTTTTTTTTTTTTTTTTTTTTGTGCGAGCTTACACAAACTTACAGAGTGTTAAATTAATAAAACATTCATCCTAGCTTCGCATCGCCTCAAGTCTCGAACCCGACACCGCCTCGGGTGGATTCCAGCCGAGGGCAGTCGCGCTCTCGCTAGCTCAGGAAGAAGGCGAGAGGGTCTAGGCAAGCCGGCTGGCAAACGGCCGGCGTTCTCCTCGGTCCTTCAGCGACGAGATGGAGGAGCGAAGGTAGAAACGCAGCCGGCAGCTTCACCAGACTAAAAGCCTGCGGGCGCACGACCTGGTGAGAAAAGATGGAGCCTGCCCCGATGCTTCACCGCGACCGCAGCCCTTCCACGAGACGATCGCGACGCCCCGTCCCAAGGGCTCCTTCGATGCGGATGCAACGGGCCGTGTGTGATGCTGAGGGAGCCGGGGCCCAGTGAAGGTGAGGTTTGAGAAGCTGGAGGGATGCGAAGGTTCCCGTTAAGGTTTTTGTTTTGTTTTGTTTTGTTTTGTTTTTTTTTTTCTGGCTGGGGCCAAGCTCCAGCTCGGGCATTGCCTCCCGCACTTCTGCCCAGCTCCGATTTAGAAAGAGGAAATTAACACACAAAAAACTAAATATTTATGTAACCTTTTAAAAAGAAGACATTTAAGACACTGGCCTGGTGCGTTGGACTGCGAAATCGATTTTAAGAGAGGGGAAGAGAGGATACATTCAGCATGTAAATCTAGTTTTTTGTGGTGGTGGCTTGCTCAGAGAGCATGCAGCAGCCCAAGCCTGGGTGAAACCTACACGAGCGCCTCGATAAAGCAGGAAACTGTTTAGGGAAGGGTGATTCGGGCTCAAGGAATTAACCGTGGGGAAGGCGCAGGGAGAAGGGCGCCTGTGAAAATAATTAGAAATCTAGAAGCACTTGAGAAGCGCATGCTTTAGCTCCAAATATTGGGAAAAAATGGCATGAATTCTGAGTAAAAACTGTGGGTTTCCCTTCCGGCCTTATTTCATGGCACAGGGCAGAGCCAGGCCACTGCTACTTCTCTCTGCGCTGCTCTCCTAGGTCTGGTCAAGGCTCTTAATTACTGAATTTCCTTCCAATTCACAGCTGGGTAGGATTTGATTTGGGTCAAAAGTGCCTGCTTCAATCAGCACCTATCGAGGCTGCGGCACGGGAGAGGGCAGGGAAAGCCATCGCCCACAGCCGCAGCAGGCAGGCCAGGTCTAGCCAGCCTTAGGTACGACTTTAAATATCCAGTAGTTTGTGTGTTAAGGAGATACAGAGATAGAGATATATATATATTACGGAATCATTGCTATAAGATTTCTCAAAACGAAAGTGTCAATCTGTTGAAATATAGTATTTAAAATATATAAATTTTATCCATTAAAATATAAGATTTCTTTTTTTAAAAAAAAAATCCAGTTCAATTAGGAAAAAAGCGCCAGGGTCCTTGCAGTTATGCAAGTATGCCGGGAGAGAAAAAGAAAACCAATTCCCGTTTTTCTTTTTTTAACCATTTAAGATGGGAGGGAGAAAATCAACCTTTTTTTTAGATGGAGAAAATCAGGCAATGGCCATTCTCTTAGATCAGACCCATCTGTTTGAATGCACTGGCCAGCCTCCCTTCACGCCGTGGGTCACGGTAAGTTTGCCCCAGGACTGTTACACCCTGACAATACCGCTCGTCCTCTGGCACACGGGTCAGCAAGATCGTTAACCCCCCCCAGTCGAAGGTCCCTGCAGGCACCGAGGGTCCCCAGTGAATACTCTGCAAGGCAGCTTTCAAGTATCAAGTCGAGCTGATGTTTTTTGAGCCTGATTACTGGAAATAATCGATGAAATTCTTGTGCTGTTAATGGATGATGGAGAAGAGGATTAGAAACACCAAGGGCCCGGAGGGCGGGCTGCCACTAAGGCCACATCTGGGTAGACAACACGCGCTCCACCAAAACCCCGGCTCCGAGCTAGCTCTGGTCCAGGCTGTCGTGCCCAACTTCATGCTTTTTAAGTGGAAATTTTTAGTGTGTCGCTCACCTGAGCTTCCTCAGTGGTTTGAACCTGAAGACGGCTAGCTCGGAGCAGGGGCAGGGCGGGCTTGCATCACCCTGAGCGCGGGAGGGCTGGGCTCCCGTCCCAGCTCCGCCGCCAACCCACCGGGATGCGTCAGATACCTCGGGATGCCTCCTCGGGCCGCTCTCGGACGCGTAAGGACAGGTCTTAGGTGTGCTGAGAGATCTCTTAACTGAGCAAGATCCTGCAGGGTACGTGTCAGCAAGGAGAACATCCTTCCCAAAATCACCTGGCTGGCGTTTCCCTTTCTAGATTTCAATGTTTGTGGGAAGAACATGAAACTCTCTTCCCTCGGAAGAGGCAGGGACCGAGAGAAAAGCTGCATTTGCTCCCAGCTGCTCTCCCCGAGCTCTCTGCTCTCTCACTAACACGACTGTATGAGTTCCTGTATGGCTTTTTAGTAAAAATCCTTAATTTATGTCTGTCTTCACTGCATTTGGCTTTCTACTTAATGAAGTATAACCTATGATCTGTACTGCCAGTGCAGACAGTGAGATATATTCATTTATACGTACTACGGGTGGTTCTGTTTGGTGTTTCCTAGCAGAAATGCAGCTCAGCCTCCCTCCCCAACAGCCCTCAAGTCAGGTCATTCAAACACGCTGACATCAGTAACAGTCTGACCACCCCAGCCGGCTGCACCGTAAAGGAGAAAACGGGGCAGGCAGAGAGGAGAAGCCTGTTTCCAGGACAGAAAAACCCTACTTCCCTCTCCGCGAGGAGAGCTCTGATTTCTCTTGGAGTACTGAAACAACAAGGCAAGGAACGGCCGAGGTCCTTATCCCCTACCCCAGGTGCTGCTCACACAACCCTCCTAGCTGGGGACCCCAAATGTCACCGACTCGTGTAGAGGTGTTGCAGTGTATTCACAGGGATGACGGACACTTCCTTTGGACCAACGGACCAGAACGGCTGGAGGATTTTTTTTGATTATTCTCTCTTTTTTTTTTTTCTTAATCTGAAAGGACTCTGGCTTCTCTCTGAACTGGACCTACAAATGTCTTACCACCAAAACGAAAAAAACAATTGCCGTGGGTGGAAGTATGACAAAAAATAGTTTTCCTATAAGATAATCTGATAAACCTCATCGTCCTCTAGAAAGGCAACATCGTCCACCAGTGCTACTTAGCACCCAGAGTGCTCTTTGACCGCAGCAGATACCGGTCGACTCTGACTTTCCGTCTATCCACTGTCCTATTCTCGCTGTCGAAAATCCGCTGCAGATGCAGGGCCAACCTCCTGTCCTCCTCCTCTTGCTGGAGCTTCTGCTCCATCTCCCGTACCAAGCGATCCTCCGGAGGCAAGCCCACCTCCCCTGCCGCGTGCCTCAGTCTTTTGACAGAGCCGTTGTGCTCCAAGTGCTTTGTTTTGCAGCGTCTCTTCCGGCCCCGTCTCAGCGACGGGGGCTGTTCCCCGATGATGTTCTCAACAGAATTGCAGGTGCTGTTCTGCACGTTGATCAATTCGCTGTTGTTCAGGTATTTCAGCTGCTTTTTTCCCGATGGTTTGACGGGGACTCCTAGCGTGCTGTTGTCAGGCAGCGACGCGCTGACACCCATGAGTCTTCTGCTCAGCATTTTTGGGCCGAGACTAAGACAGGATTTGTCCATGAATGCGTTCACTTTTAGGTCAGGGACTTCGGACACTCGTGTGTTTAGGGAGGTGACATTTGATCTCGCATCTGGTTCACTGTCGTCTGTTGTTAAGGCTTGTGAATCTCTGTTTTTCTCACTCCCTCTTCCCAGCTTCGTTTCACTGATGGAAGGGAAGAAATCCAGCTCGGGGCGAGGGTCTCCTGTTGTCTCAGGTGGGAGGTGGTCATCCTGCACTTGCGGCTGCTCTTTAGTGCACGTGCTGGAGTTGGTGATGTCAGGAACTACAACGTCTTCCCCGGGCTCCGAAGCCAAGGACGTGAGGGTTGCTTTAGAGAGAGTCTTTTTGATCTGGCGCTCCTGAAATATCTGCTCCCATTTTTTTAGTATTCTAGGACTGGCCTCGTAGGTGGTCGGCTTCTGCAGGCTCCGGTTCAGGTTTCTCGGTGTGGATTTGATAATGAGAGGGCTCAGGACTCTGCCATCAGGAAGCCTCTTTGGAGGAGTACACGGGGAGCAGACGATAGGCTTGAAGTGGTTGAGCTCCTCCGAGATGCTGTCGTTGCTCTCGGGGCTGATGGATCGCTCCGGCTTGTGCAGGGCCGAGAGGGATGAAACGGGGTTGAGAACCAGGCGCTTCTCTGCCGTCAGGTCTGGGGCGGAGAGGCAGCGGTTGTTTTGAGTAGACGACAAAACTCCGACCAGCGGTGTTGACGTGCTGGTGACGGGTGGCACCTGCAAGGCAAGGCACCACAGCTCAAAAAGTTTGTCATTGAGAAGAATACGGGCAAGCGTGTGAGAGGAGAACAGAAGAACGTGAGGCTACCACCCTCGGGACCTGCAGCAGACCAGCTGGAGAGCTCTCTGCAACAGCCGTGGCAGCTTCTGCCGGTCACGGCACCTTTTAACATAAGCAGAGAACACCAGGAGTCCAGCATGAGCTGGGTCTCAAATTTATTTCAACCTAAGACCTGTTCTGGACACGGGTGGCAACCACTCCGATGGCAAAATGCTTGAAGCAAGGCAAGCCAAGAAGCCAAGAAGCACTGTCACCACCCTGGCTGAAGGAAGCCACACTCTTCAAGGGAAATAAATGATCTCCAAAGTTTTTTTAGCTCCCTACCAAGCTGTAGGAGAGAAAGAATAAATACTTGGCCCAAGTTTAACACACTGTGCTGCAAAACGTTGTGAGAAGGTGTGTATGTGCCTATGGCAGACTGGTGGAACAACCTTGATGAGTGGTCCCAGACCGCAGAGCGGCCACCACGCAGGACACCGCCCGAGGCAGCCTCTAAAGCACAATGCTTCTTGTCATCCCCAAGACCATCTCCTAATGATGCTACATTTGGAATGCGACAGAATCCAGTCACAAATAAATCCGAAATAAAAGCTGCATGTACACAACTGCAAATGGTATTATTCTTAGCTCTAAGATGAAATTACTTTATCCAGCAGCTAGTTTGAACAACAATAGCCTTGTCTTGATTAGCCTGAGAGTTGTTTCTACTACCTTATTTTGGGGTCAAAATAAGATTGTGGAACACCCTCGTGGTGCAACTCTTAATTGGTCAAGTCCATAAGCCATGTGCTTTGAAAGACCAAGGTCCTGGGAGGGAAGGTCAGTTATAGACCCTTGCTTTGAGCTCAGTCCAGCTCCTGGCAACTGGACCACGGTCCATGTTCATAACCTCAGAGATGGTGAACACTGGGGTCAACTTAGTGTGTCCAGTGGGGTTTTTACCATTTTCCAAGCAACGTCCCCCAAACAAACTGATCTTCCGAAAGATTGCAGAGGCTTTTGTTCCTTATGGGGGTCTCTGGAATTGAACCCTCCCCTTCTCCAGCTGGGATGAAACTGAGCCCAGGAAGGAGGGGTGTCAGCATGAGGAGGTGGAACGTCCTAGCAAGCGGCCCCGGTGGAACTATTTTCCACGCTGAAAACTCAGAGCTCTCGTGATTTCTGCCACTGCTGCCAGCCACCAGGATCCCACGGGCCAGGAAAGCACAGCAGAAGCACAGAGACAGAGATCAGTACGAAAGCGAGCGTGCAAAATTTGCTTCTGCTGACAGGGCCAGAGGGGTCAGTGGTGCTGCCCGGCACGGCGCGAGAAAAGGCATTTGCAAAGGTGGTGTCCAGTGAGCGGAAGGTACCCAGCGATTACTGCTGCAAGAGCCTGAAAAACCCCTGGGTCAGATTTGCAGTGGTGCTTCATGGTCACTGCTTATTTTGAAGCAGTGTGGTGCACTGAAAAGTCAGGCCTGTTGCAGGGGGTGACAGATATGGTTGGTTCGTTTGAGCTGCTGGATGTGAGGGGAAGCAAGAGCAGGCCAGCTCTTCCCATGGCGCGGAAGTGCAAAAGGAAGTATCCTAACATCAGGAGAGCAATGAGTTTTGCTCTGTTTAAACAGCTTTGGAAGAAACAGGAGAGAAAGAGAGGATTTTTTTTTTTTCTAAACTTACAAAAGATTTTTCTTTAATTGGCTGGGCATTCAGCCTTGAAAAGAAAATTAATTACAACACAAAAGGATGATAAGTACCCTTCCGACTTCCAAATATCCTCCAGTGCTAACAAACAACTCTGTAAGCTGTCTACTTTTCCGCTTAGTAATTTCTAACCTAGCAGGTTTTTATTGTGAGCTGCAAGGAAGTGATTGGCCTCATGGCGATAACGCAGCACCAGCAGCACCACAAACACAGTATTTTATATCTCCAGATTATACCGGCGCTGTGTAACCTCAGATAAGAACGTTCACATATAGGAACCCGACGTTTCCAGGCGCAACCAGTACCTTTGTTTTGTTGGCCGGGGCTGATCTCTGCCTGCTCTTTGATCTCTCCTGAATGGTGTCGTTGCAGCTCCGACTCCTTTCCACCTTGGCGGTTAAGTTCCTGGAAAGCAGATGGGTGAAAACAGGAGATTGTTCACGACCTGAGGAACAACCAGCCCGGCAGCAGCTGCCTGCGGGGGAGGCATCAGCCTTGGCAGCAAGAGATGCCTCCTACGCCCTGGGGGTAAAGGGATCCAGAAATCTTGGATCTGCTGCAGAGTCCTGGTCTGCGTTCAAGGGCTCCGCGCTAAACACACTGACACCTCCACCTACGGCTTATAATTAATTGAGGTCAGAGCTAATGACGATGCTATGGAAACCTCTGTGCTTCTCATATGAAAACACACTTAGTTACTCAGCCGCTTCCACTGCATCATGCAACAGCTTTCACTGATAAGCTCTTTGGGGCCGATGCAATCTCTTAGTAGCTGTGCTGGAGAAGGATCCAGCACTCTTGAGTTCATCACACAGAATTTTGTATTTCAATGATTTCTGCCATGTAGATCTACAGGCAACAATTTTTCTGCTACATGGGATCAACACTAACTTTGTTAACCCCCAGGATTTTATAACAGGTAGGAGGCAATCAGACAGACTCTATATTCTACCAATGAGTCTGTTCTAAAATTCCAGAAAAAATATTACTTATTTTGGATTGGAACAACCATTTTAATTAAATTCAAAGCATCTCAGGCATGTTTAGAATAACAGTCCAAAGAACATGAGATTTACATCTCTAATGAACGTTAATCAGCTTGAATCAAGTCTCAGCATCTTACCCTGTAAGGAAAGCAAAGGAGTAGGCACTGGTTTTGGAAACAAAAGCCGACCGATGCGTTTGCTTGCCCTGGAATGGTTCTTCATTCTCTGAATCCGAGAGACGCTCAGGAAACTGAAGTCAATCAAGGAAGAGTTAGCTGACACGTACAACAAAAAGAATCACTTGGAAAATAAATCTCTTTCTTGCAAAGATATTAAAGATTCCAAAAGCCCCCGTTCTGATTACACCTAGAGGACATAAACCAAGACTGTGACCTGCCAGCAGATACACACACTCGTGCCGCTCTCTTCGTTGGAGCTGGAACAGCTCAGAGGCTGTCCCCAATAATGCAAAGATAAACACACAGCTCCTATGTGTATCTGTCAGTCATTGAAGGAAGTTAATTTATTGATCAAGGAAATATGAGAAAATCCTATAAGAAAGGTACAACAGGACGTTATATTCAGTACCCACATATCAGCCCAGCAGTCTTTAAATCTTAAGAGCATTTCTTGTGGAGTCTCACAACTGAAATGAGAAATAGGCAAAACTCAGCATGAAGAATCTGCTGGACTACAGTATCGTACACCTACGCTGTAGGAGATTCATGGAGAAACATTCAGGGAAATGCACATATGCCTGAAGACTGAGGATACACAAAGCAGAGCAGTTACCTCTACAGATTTAACTGATACATTTGGAAGAGCTGCACCTTCAGTCATGAGTAAAGTGGGTAAAAGGGGGGAGAGAAACTTCTAGAAGAACATCTGTAGTCATAACAAGCCCTAGAAGACAGTTCTCATTAACATGGGCCTTTATAATCTGTTACCTCGTAGTCTTCAAGGGCTAGAACAAAGTCAGTCAACTAATCCTGGAAACCTCCCTATGTCAAAGGATGAAAGCTCCCAGTTTCAACAGGCAGGAACAGGAGATACTCAGCTAGTCAAGGTCTTAAAAAAGCCTTGTTCTTGTTCCAGGACTGAGTCTTAGCAGCATTTCACCTACCAGTCAGTGTCTATGATGTGGATAGGAAAGAGAAGTGCAAGCTGACTTACACACTCTTGGTTCACTTTAAGCACTAAAGCTTCATCTTTTTTCTGCTGTTCTTCCATTTTCCTTTTTCCTACATCCACGTCATCTAAAATGAACTTGTGCATCAGATCCTCAGAAGCTTTTTCTTCTTGCAGTTTTTCTTCTCTCAGCTGGAAATAATGACAAAAGAGACAGCATAATTAAAATGTTTTAAGTCCTACACCTGGTTGCCAACAAGTGATTTTCCAGGAGTCTGGACGCATCATTTAATTTTGTGTCTTTGTTTCTCTACTCTAGAGTAGAGCCACTGCCTCTCTCTTGCAATAATGTAAAGATTGTTTTTTTTCTACAATGCTTTCATGTTCAGGCACTCTACACAGATATCATGGATATTGTCTTTGCAAAACAGCAAAGGCACTGTTAGGTCCAGGGTTTGACAGAGACTTCTCTGCCACACTATTTTCTAAAATAGAGAGACAAAAGCTCTTGTCTACTTGTAGACAATCATGCTACAAATAAAAATGTGCAAAACAGTAGTTTCATGCAAGACATGACACTTCAATTTTAGTCTTCAAATGGCCTGCAACACAGTACACATCACTTGCCAGACATACAGACAGCATCACCTAAATTAAAACTGGCTCGATACAGCAATTCCCATGTTGAAACCACACCCTGTACGAAATCCTGTTTTTTCATTGATGCGTTGGGATGGAGTAGACCCAGAGAGATTACCTAACGCTCCGATGGCCAACTGGAGGCCCAAGACTGATCTCAGTTTATCAGCTGAAATGCAAATGCAGGTGAGAAGTGCAAGTGATTCCAGGGTCTAGGGCACAAGGTACCCGACCCCAGGGGATCCTGCCCGCTGCACAGCGAACAGCCGCTGCCTGCGCTTCACGCTGGACCGACTTGGTTTTTCCTCCTGGCTTCCTACTCTGCTCCGCGTAGTTAACCTCTTATTGAAGTCCCCTTGCCTTTTTAATCCATTCCTGCAATTTAAAAAGTTTGATCCAAAGGGGGCACTTTCAGCCTTTTTGGTATCACCTCCTCTGAGGAATACTTCCCCTGTATTTCCCTGTTTTTCTCTAATTCTGATGCATTCTTGGATGCTTTCTTGCTACTTTTTACTATCCCAGCAAATCAAAATGACTCCGATGCAACATTATTTTATCCACACGTGCTGTGCTACTGCCTTTCACAAACCTGAAGGCTGCACAAGAAATCCTACTGCACTGCCAGGGCAGCCCCAGCTGCGTCCTGTTGTGTTTCCCACCCTTTTTCTGTGCCTGAGGCATTTTTGCTGTGCCTTCTAAAGCGTGCCTCTTCCATGAACTGCCAGTCCCCATATCTTCCTAGAAGATCCCCTACCCATTCTTCAGCTTATGGAAGTCCGGTAATAAGAGAGAAGTGCAAACATTTTCCTTCCTTCCCTCTGAAAAGCACAATCCATCACTTAGTGATTCCTTCTAACCAACCACGGTCAACTTTTGTGTCCACAAGCCCCTGTCAGCCAGGCTCTCCCTGCAGAGATTTTCTTCCCGAACTGAAGGATTATCCCCAGCACGATCCACGGCTCTGATGGGTTGCATGTCCTGCTGCATTATTTTGCTCACCTTTGCCTAAGGAATCAAACTCCCCATTTCTTCCTGGACCTCTTTTCTGCCAACTTGCAACTCAAAACCAACCCCCCTTTTCTCTTCCTTCCCACCACCTCTTCCCGATGAACAGGCTCTGCAGTACGTACTTCAGTTAACACCGTCTGATTGTCCTGGCCCAGGATAACATCACCCAGCTCCCTTCTCACTCCTTACTCAGCTTGTCGGTCACCTCTTCCTCAACTTCAGGTTGACACAGCCATGAGTAGTCTCCATATATGTGTATATATACCAGGTTCTTCCTTCTTCCTGCACCCCACCTCTGCGCATCCTCGCCTGGGACAACAAGCCTGCCCTTTGATTGACAGATCTCCATCACGCTGATGAATCACAGCTATGGCTAAGCACTAGGAATTCAAATACTTCTGTTTATTCCTCCCATTTGAGTGTAGGCATCTCAGATACTTAAGAAGCTGCCCTGTTAGGTTCCCTCCTACCTTCTCACCCCACCGCAATCTCCTCCTTGCCTCCCAGGAGAGCAGTGCTGTGGAACCCAGTGCCCTCCAGTAAAGCTCAAGGCATCCGCAGGCAGCTTGAGCACTGACCCTACAGCATTGCACATAAAGGCAGTGGGTGACACTGCACCAACTCCTCATTCTTCCAAAAATATATGGTATTTTTTTCCCTGCTGAAGCCAGGGGGGGGAAAAAAAAGCATGGGCATGTGGATGACAAAGAAAACAGAGTTCATGAAGCGTTACATGAAAAGCACATCATGACTTTCAGACTCCTAAATCCTACTGAATCCAAACCCCCAGAGACAAGGAAGAGAGAGGTAGGAGGAGAGAAGGTAGAAACCAGGAAAAAACCCACTGTTTGGCTGATTGTGGGCGTTCAGCAAATGTTTTCAAAGACTGGTTTGAATTCCTGTTTAGAGTTGTTTTAAGATGTATCTTTAAATTCCTGATCTATTAATAATCTCAAGCAATAACTACAACCCTGTGTCTGACTAATATAAATTATGTCCACATGATGCAGACAGGATGAATAGTCTGCTGTACGTTTCAGGAACAATATTTCTCCACCTTAAGGAGTCTTTTTTAAGTATCTGAAAAACAAATTCACATCCAGATTTATCATAAAGATTACTTTTTTTGGCCAGCTGAAAAATACTACCCAACACTTGTGTGCCTTCCGTATTTCTCACATGGAAGAAAGCTATATGGAAATGTTTACTTTTTTGACTAACTTACAAAATTATACTCAATTCCCAAATCTAAAGCCACAAATGTATCTAACAACATACAGGAATATTTAAGGACTTTGGGCAAACCCACGGCATGGTTAACGTGAGGTCACTGCCAACAGTGAACAGTGAAAAAAGCAACAACAGTGAAAAAAGCTGCTAATCCTAATTAACGGGATATAAAAAATAATTTAGGTCCAAAATTCAGGTTGCAAACAAAAGCAAACTCTAATGATAAAATCTGTACGAACTAAAAAAAAAATAATTTTAAGTAGACTAATGTAAATTATCTCCCAGAGAATCTACTTACAAATGTGGCAATTCTGTGCTGGGACGTGAGAACTAGAAACTGAAACAAGCTGATGTGAAACATCTACCCTGGGAGAAGGATCTTACATTATCTGAGAAGCATCTTAGAAATACTGGATGTGGGACCATCAGCTGCTATTAGCAGCACGGTTCTCAGAAAACACATTTTAAACTGTCTGTAGCCCTTTTGGATATTGGACCCGCAGGACAAAATGCTGTACAAGCAAACACTAATTTTTTTTTGCTCAAGAATTGCTCAAGAAATGACCACTTCAGGAACATCATTCTTGATACTCACATTTCTTTCCAAAAGTTTGGTAAACTCACGTTTGGTACCTTCTCCGCTCCATAAACTGTCTGGGTTTGCTTGCTCACTCCCCGAGCCTGCTCTGTCTACCCATGCTGCTGGAAAGCTGCATGTCAGCACATGCCTCAGGTAGGAGTTTCCCTCCTGATTGCGTGTGATTACAAGCAATAGGCTGCTTGTGACAGAAAGACAGTTTAACAGGATGAGTTAGCTTTTTAGTGCACAGATATCCTCCTTTGGAAGAAGATAAAATACAAGGGCACCAAGTGCACTGTGTAAAAGAGGAAAAAAAAATCTTGCTATCCTGCACTGACAGCAAACATTTCATCTCACTCTGAAAGCCAGTCGAGAAAATTACACTGCGAGATTATCCACTTCAAATAAAAAATTCTTCAGTACATAATTATGGTAACTAGTTTGTTTTCAACTGCAAAAGGCTGGGAAGCAGGTCAAGAGCTAGGATTTATAAAACAACTCACATCTGGGAGATGTGAAAGCTTTTGAAGGCTCCTCTCCCTTCCTCAGGAGGAAAGCCAGCACGGGTTACCCCCATCTCACGGTCAGGGAAGCTGAGATGGAACCTCTTGCCTCGAGACAGAGAGGGAAGCCCAGTTATACACAAGTTTTGATTCCCAAACCCGAGTTCTCATCCCCTCTTGCCTAATTCAGAAGTTCAGAGACACCAAGAAACTCTCACTAAGTGGCAACAGTCACAGTTTTGCCTGAAATAAGGAAAAAGCGTGAGTGCATCATCAGTTGCCATTTTGTCAGCAAAATTACATTGCCCTTTCCTCTTAGATGATGATTCAGAGAATCTCCCCCCTCATGCCAGCTCTTTCAGACGAGGTTCATAAAAAGTGAGTTTAAGCTGGCAGAGGAAAGAAACCTATTTCCCATCTGCCAGTGAGCAAAAAGGGGAAGGCAGCAGGCTGAATAGAAATGAGACAAAAACATGCCCAAAACACCAGAAATATGTTAAAGTATTTCCTTTTGACTGGTGGGGAAGTGAGAAGTGTTGGCACTGGGCTGCACGTAGTATCTTTTTGCTGAAGTCAAGCAGTAGATGCAAAAACTTCTTCAGCTGCAGACTGACTATGCTTCAAATGTGCTTGCTTGAACTTTAGATATAATATTTAAAGTTGATAACGAAGTGATCAGGATTAACAAGCGGTGACAAATTTCTCCCTTTGTCCTGCACGGATGCAATGCTCCTACAGAAGTTTTATGGACCACGGGATGGTTTAATCCTTCCAGAAGATCCAGATGTGCATCAGTCTGGAGGCAGCTGGAAGAACTGCAGAGCTAAGATCCCGCCTCAATGAGCTCAGGTGGTTCCTGCTCCTCTGGACACCCAGGAAATTCTGGCCTGGCAGCTGGTTTGAAGACATCAAGCAACAACTCTGGAGGATCAGTGATGAGCTAGCTCCAACATCATCATGGAAAGTCTCCCACTCACTATTACAGAGATATTTATAAAACCCTAGCAAGGCTTACAGTTAATACCTAACTTTATTTCTTCTTTAAGTCAAAGATACCCTAAGTATATTCATCCTGAAGGTTACAGTGAAAAAAAATTAATTTGCCAAATACACTGAAGCACGTTTAAGTTAATTAATAAACTAGATTTTTATAGAGAATTTTTAGAGAGAGATTTTTTATATAGATTTCTGTGTACTTAAGTCTTATGCTGCTGCCTAAACCAACTGTTCCTCAACAAAAGGCCTCACTGTTGCTAAAAATGCCGCAACTCACAAGACTTTACGCACAAAACATGCTTGCCTACTTAGTGAAAGTCACCTGGACCACAGAAGAGTTTGCATTTCTTATGATCGGTTAATGAAAGATCAGAGTCAGCCAAAGTTATCCTAATAAGCTGTAGTGACACTGCCCATCACTGTCACTGCTAATTCCACACACAGAGAAGCAGGAGAGAAGACCCTTCCACATTTTTTAAATTTGTCTCCTCACATATATGCATTTCCCACAGGAGTTATTTACCTTAAATATGAACTAAAGAGTATTTCCCTACTTTGCATCACTCAGTGGACAAGGCTATTTTTCTAACTAAACATCAGCTTCCCAGCCCTTTTTAAAGTTGTGGAGAGCTTCAAGTGAAATCCCAAAGAAAATTCAACAATGAAAAGCCCCCCTGTTCCCTTTCCCCAGCAGGTAAACCAATCAGCGACAGGTTGGACCCATCTCAAAGACAAACACCATCACAGAGATCAAGGCCCCGGGACAGCGATTAAATCTATTGACAGAGACACCAGTGGCGGGGCAGAGTCCACGTTGTTTCAGCAGGTCCCGGCAGAGGAAGGGATGGCAAAAGCAGGAGCTACGAGTAGAAACGCGAATGTTTTGGCAAGTTATAGGCGACTCTCACGAGAGGGGTTGCAATGGAAATCATTATCCACTCAGCTGCAGCAGCCATTGCTTTCGCAGTAATGTTTCTCACTTAAGAAGCAGCCAACTTCCATAAATGACTAGCCACTGGAGATATTTCAATGATTTAGTTAAGAAAAAAATCCCTTTTTAAATGTAAAAAATATTTTCCCAGACTTTAACTCCAAAACAGCTGAAACGCTTTTCTTCCCTCCTCATTTTTTTGTCTTTAACTGACATTTTTTCCTTGCCTAAAAATAGACAGAAAGCTCTAGTTTGGAATAGATTGTTTCTGAGAGGGATGTTACTGCAGGAGATGCCTTATGCTGAAAAAGCCTTTATGGAACTACATCCACAAATACGGATGCTCTGATTAACCCCGTACAACCAAAAAGTTGCTCGAGGTCCACCAAGGAAGGTACATTTCCATGTGCTGGAAGGCAGCCCAAGACAGCAAAATCTGGCTTCTACATGCTCAATTACTGCCAATATCTTCCTGAACAGGCTGAACAGCATAAAGGGAATAAATGACCTGTGTTACAGAGCAGGAATAAAAAGCCCTGCAAGTTTCCCTATAGGTAGGATGGCATTCCCACAGGAAATCCAAGTTATTCTGGAAGAAAAAACACAATTACACAGAATACTGTACCTTCCTTAGCTGGCTTTCATATTCTTCTCGGAGTTCCCCGGGTTTGCTTAATTTAATGGGTGCTCTGAATATAAAGTCTGAAAAGAGAAGGAAAAAAAAGGAAACACTTTTTAGTGCATGATGACTAGGGTTGTCCATTATTTCCCAAAAAGGGTAAACCCTCCACGGACTGCATAAGAGGTTCTGCAGCATTTTTTCAAGCACATATGTTTATATTATGACACTGCTATCAAAGCTCTGCTCAACATACAGAAACATTGGGAGGAGGACGGCCAAGCAATACCATTTTGCACTTCTAGAGTTTCTTTTGAGATTCTCAAGAGTTCTTGACAAGCAGTTAAGCAATCAGGGGAGTATTAGGAGGATGTAAACACAGAGGTTAAGTAACAGCCCGGAGATGTCACAGGGAATCTGAGCGCTAGAAATAAAAGCAGGCTTTAAGCATCTGCTCCAGCCAGACACCCAAGAAACACAGGCTGAAGCAGCAGCACAACACCTCCAATTCACACCCTTCTGCCCTTCTGCCATGTCAACGACCACATCGAGAACACTCTCTATTTTCTATATAAACAGTGTTTTTACTCCTCCCCGTCTCCTTTGCCTCCGCAGCTGTTTGCAGTGCTGTCCTGCCGGTCTGGAGCAAGCAAAAGCTCTTATTCCCCTTGCAATGAGCTCTCCGAGGTCAATATTTGGAATCCAGGCAGGCAGGCTGCTCCGTCCGGCAGGAATTCCCCATCCTGCTCCCGCTTCCTCCCTTCCCCCTCGGGAATTCAGAAACCAAAAGCATACTGGCACGGGGTTACAGTTTAACCTCCATCCCTGGAGTTTGTTACTCCCCAAATGACTCTCTTCTTTATATCGGCCTCAAAGCTCCCTCCTGCTTCTGTGCAGCGCGAGTCTGGGCAAGTTGCATTGCAGCCAGAGGAGCTTGGATAGAAAAGGGAACAACTGGAATAAAACAACAACCCCTGAACAATCGTCCTGGCTCAGCCCATATCAGGACTCCAGGCAGGGTGCAGCACAGCTCATCATCCCGACGTGCTACACTGGGGATGAAATGGGTACGAGCAAGGAGGAAACATCAGTGCTATGTCTTTTTCGCAGCTCACTAAAATTAAGGGATAGAAACTGGCAGCTCCAGCGCATGTTTTAGGAAGTCTTTTTATTCCTCAAACACATTGGCCTGAAATGAAAAATTCATGGTGGGGTAAGTAAATAAAATACTCAGCGGCCAACTGCCCCGGTGGGCATCCTCCGGTTCATGGCCACATTTGCCTCCTCCCTGGGGACAGGTGACAGCCCTGATGCTGAAACAGGCCATTTAAAGACTGACTAAATTCTGTTTTCACCTGTCCTGCTGGCCACTGGTTTGCTTTTAAAGTTCTCAAAGGAAAGCCCTGTAACTTCACTCCCACCCCACTGGTGAGTGTGAGTGCAAACTCTGGAACTGCTTCTTCGAGGAGCTCTGGAGAGGGAATGCTGCCAACTCCAGAGCTGAACAAATCACAAAGTATTTCTTTAATACCTGCTTTAAAAGGGGGGGAAAAACAATCTCTTGTGATCAAACATCAAGGATATAGATTATAATTTTTTTTTAAAAAAAAAAAAAAAAAACATCTCCTATTCCCTCTTACTCGCACGCCTGCACAAGCTAGGCTTGTTTTTAAAGGAAAACATCCAAAATGTCCTAACATGTGTGATAAAAATCCTGAGCGGTGGCGATGCTGGGGAGGCCAGGCTGCATTCCTTGCTCCTGCTTCTGCGCCTGCAACCGGCTGCGCTGGAAACCTTCCACCAGCTTCTCAAAATGTTTTTTTCAATTGTGTCCTTGAGCAGTTCCAGTTCTTTGTGAATTTTATCAAGCTGAACTTCCACTGAGAGAGTCCCAGGAGCGGCAGCAATCTGTAATGCACCCGCAGCAAACTTCAATCACTTCTGAATGTTTAAGGCTTGTCTCAGACCTTATCTTCATTGCTAAAAACGTGTATTTTTTCCCTCCAGGATAATAAAGTGTACATGCTAACCCGAGGGAAACATGCAGCAGTAAAGACAAGACACATCAACTGTTTCATTGCTTACATGGGTTCAGCAAGCCAGAAGAGATTCTAAATAATGGAAGGACATTTAGCTATGAAGTTGTGCTGGTTTAGCTAAAGTGATCCAACACCAAGCAGAGGCAATTTTATCTGTAGTATCTTTATACAGCAGCTTTATGTATTTTACAGAAGAGTGAAAAGAGATGAGGCCCCAAATTTCTAACTCTGTGTAGAAGAGATGAAAACAAAAATGTATGCACAACCGTATAGCTACATTTATAACACCCCATTATGGTTCCTGGGGTAGAGCGATGCTGCGCGGTGGCTGTCCCCAGCCAAGGATGCTTCTATCAGCACAAAACTGCTGCAAATCAAACCAGACTGGTCCTTGCACTGGGGTGCAGCTGGGGAGGAAGGCAAGATGATCAGAGCATCACGGGTGTTCCTCCAGCACACCTCCGCATGCTAATTCTGGATGTTGAGGTCCAGGACAAGGCTGCTTGGCTGTTTTGACATGTGCTACAGCCTAGGAGAATAACGGAAATGGGTCAGATGATGGAAGAAACAGCCTTTTACTTGATTTTGCAGCAAAGCTCCTGCTTGCTCTTCCTCTCGAGTGATCCGTGGGTCAACAGAAATGGTTTCTGGATGAAGCTGACCCTGAAGGGCTGCTGGGAAGGCTGGCACTGGGATGCTCCTTCCAAGCATGGTGATAACACCAAAACGGTCGCAGCGGCAGAATCAAACCCGGCATCCTGCTCTTTTATGCTGGCAGACAAGAGTTTCATCCTATTGTGCTCAATCTTGGAAAAAACAATTGATTTCTGCACTATTTGACGAGACAAAAGATTTTCTAATTATTTAACGTGGGTTCTCTTTCTAAGAGGCATTTGACTTGTAGCCTCAATCTCCTTGAATGACTCCATCCCTTCAACATCAGCACACAAGTGTGCATTACACATCATCACTGTTAATCTGCACTCCTGACCAGTAGATTTTATCTTTACTGGCAAAAGATTCAGAAACATCTATCTGATGAATTCAGCAACTTGGGTTGAATAAAAATAAGTTGAACTCAATTCAGAAACCCTTCAGTTCTGTGTCTGTCATTCAGAGGCTCCTGGGTTTTGCCAAATTGATGGCACCCAGCAAGTCAAAGCTCTGTGACCTGTGGCTGCAATTCTCCCTCACCCCCAGCTTCCACAGAAACCTTGAGCAGACTTTGTAGCTTCCTTCTACTCTTTATTCCTGGCAGGGATAATGAAAACCTTGAGGTTTTCACTGTTTTTTCTTTTAACTTCCAGCAGTTAGTGTTTATACTTGCAGATGAAGATGAGATCTTAATGTTTTCAAAAACAAAACAAGAAGTTAGAAGTTTTCTGACTATGGAGAGGTTTTCTAACAGGAGTAGTTACTCTAGTTCTTTTAAAAGGATGTTAACTAAATTACATAAAGATATGCCAATTACATACTTCATATATATATATATACACACATATATGTATGTTTCAGCATTTGTGGATTGGAGCATATTTGTAAACAAGAACTTAAAACTCAGAACATTTCAGCCACAAATCTGCAACTTTTTTGTAAGTGGAAGAATCAGTAAGGTTGGAGCTGTAGGAAGACTTTGGGCTGCCACATACCAGTAGGACAACATGTGGCATCGCCAGCCCCCTTCTCCTGCCCTGCTGTGGGCAACTGTGGTCACAGCAAACCAGAGACAGAAACAGAGTCAAGATAAGACCGATCTACTGAAAAAAAATACAAGTCTCCAAAAAAGGTTTTTCACCCCAAATCAGCTCCTGTTCCGCAACAGGCTCCAGACCAGTTCTCACGCACAGCCAAATGGAACAAAAATAGATTTAATCTAGTTCTGAGCCTGGAGTTCCAGCTGAAGCAGGAGATGACACTACAAAAACATTAAAGTGGCTGATAGCTATTAATGTACTCTCATTTCTGCCTCAAATGCTACGTCCTAAATAGGCTAGTATCAATAATCTGAGACAAGTCTTCCCAACAGATTTTCACAGCATCACAGAATGGTTTGGGTTGGAAGGGACCTTTGAAGATCACCTAGTCCAACCCCCCTGCCATGGGCAGGGCCATTTAGTGGTGCACTTGGCAGTGTTGGTTTATGGTTGGACTCGATAATCTTAAAGGTCTTTTCCAACTTAAATGATTCCATGTTTCTGTGATCTTCCACTAGACCAGGCTGCTTCAAGACCCATCCAATCTGACCTTGAACACTTCCAGTGATGGTGCATGTACAACCTCCCTGGGCAACCTGTTCCAGCATCTCACCACCCTCACGGAAGAATTTTTTCCTTTGATCTAATCTAAATCTCCCCTCTGTCAGTTTAAAACCGTCACCCCTCGTCCTACCCCCACCCCCTGACCCAGAGTCCCTCCCCACCTTTCCTGTCCCCCCTGTAAGCACTGGGAGGCCGCTTGAAGGTCTCCCCGGAGACTTCTCTTCTCCAAGCTGAACAACCTCATCTCTTCCAGACCTTCTCCAAGGAGAGGTGTTCCAGCCCTCTCCATTTGGTGGCCCTGACCATTTTGGTGGCCTCCTCTGGACCTGCTCCAACACGTCCATGTCTTTCTTCTGCTGGGGACCCCAGACCTGGATGCAGTACTTCAGGTGAGGTCTCACTAGAGCAGAGTTGAGGTGGAGAATTACCTAATTTTGCTTGATTTGTGTTCTAAATGGAGTGACCTGGCTCCCCTTGCACTGATGGTGGGGCACAAAAAGCATTGTATTCCCCCATACCTCCTGTTTCATTTCTTCATTTGCAAAAGCTTGGCTTGAGGAGCTGGAAAACGGCACAAAAAGCCATCAAAAAGAGGATCTAGACATCCATTAAAAGCAAGACAGAGAACAAAAAGTCCATCAATTAATAGGAAGAGGGCAGAGACATAACTGACACAGTAAAAGCTTAAGTGTTCAGAAGAGTGATACTTTAGTGTTTACCAAAAATTAACTGTGATCAGGTACTTTAAGAAACAGGAGTGCAGAAAGAGGAAGTAAATA